CCCCCCCCCCCCCACTATGCAAAGTCATGTGACTTAATCATTATATTAACTCTCGGATTCAAACCTAGAGAAATGAGGTTGTCTACATGATGTATGTAGATAACACCCATGTACAAAGTGTATTTCAAATATTTCTACTAAACCTCCCAATGGTGCTTTGTTCTTTTTTAAAAATTCTACAATGAAACCATTATTGCTGATAGTAAACTAATGGGTTAGTTATGTAGCCTGGGACTGTGGAATTCCTCATTGACTAAGTGTCAGCTGTCCACTTAAGACAATGACTGAAATTTCAGGCTTTCATTTTCACATGACTGCATTGTCACCTTCATTGACTGCCAGAGACATTGCACAAGACATTGCCATGTTAAATTGTGGCACAACAGGGTTCATCACTTGAATAGTTACTAGATTAAAGTTGCAGAATTTAGATCAGTCATGTTTTCTGCCTTTCTTAGCTGACTAGACGAGAGGGACAGAAAAGTCCTTTACTTGTTTACCCATGACCTGCCAGAGAAAGACCTCTCACAACTTCATTGCTTGCTCGGTTTGTTACCTAAAACCTTGCTTAGCTATGATACCCTGAAACTCATGAGGCAAGTCTACGAGCTGTTCCTCACGTTCATTTCAAGAAAGGCCTCAAAACAAGAGAAGAGAACTTGCTCATTGTGTTACATGGCCAGGGGTGCATTAAGTAAGGACAATAATTAATAGCCAGGTAATTGGAAAGGACTATTTTTAATCATAACAATAACCTAGTGTTTCAACATNAATTTGTATCCATTTGGATGGATGTTAGTATTTTGCACTTACAGCAACATTTAGTTATCAAAAAAATCTAATATAAGGAAATGTTCAAGGTAACTGGTACCCAAAATAAACACACTCATTTGTCTCTAAAAGCAGCATTTTTCACCATGTCTGCCAAATATTTCCGTGCAAAATCACATGAGCGTCCAGTATAAATATTGAATTTCTTCTTGCTCAAACTACCCTTGTTAACACTATCGACACTGTTCTTATCATTTTGGTCAGTGAGCTCTCTGTACTTTCTTTTCAAGGAAAGATTCTCTACTGGGACAATCACATTGTTGTACAGATCCTTGACTTTGACACAAGTTGCTTTATCGCCTGTAGCATCTCTGCTGGAAATATTTCCTTTTGGAGAGTTCATAATCCTGTCACACATGTTCTTGGTTTTGATAGATGAAGCAACTGCATCTTCCTTGCCTCCTATGGTTGTCTCTGCCATATCAGGTTCTTTATCACCTTCACAGTTAAGTACCTTTGATGTTTCTACTGATTCACAGCCTGTCAAGCCACTTTTGGACAAAGAAGGAACTGAATTTATTTCATCTCCCGTGATCTCATGCACCATGCTGTTCTCTTGAAAATCTTTGTCACCTTTGCAATTAAGTGCCTTTGATGTTTCTCCTGATTCACTGCCTATCAAGCCACTTTTGGATGAAGAGGCAACTGAATCTATTTTAATTCCTGTGATCTCACACACCACACTGTTCTCTTGAAAATGTTTATCACCTGAAACATCACCCACACTTGGTTTTTTTCCCGATTCACTGTCCACCAAGCCAGATGCAATGGATGTAGAATCCACCTTCTTTATTTTACTGCCAATGCTCTGTTGCAACATATCATGATCTTCTTCACCTGAAGTAAAATATGGGACCGAATTTCCACCAGAGTCACTGTCTGCAAAGTAGGCAGATGAATTCATTTCATCCCCCCTGATTCCTTCATCTGGATCTTTATCCACCTTAACTTTTTTGCTAGATTCAACATCTGCAAAACTGCACTTACTGGAAGAAAGAGTGCCAACATTCTGTCCAATTTCTGTGATCCCCTGTTCTGGTATGTTCCCATCAGATTCTTTGATTTCTAAGTCATGTTTGTCCCCACTCATTTCTGCTTTTTTTGGGGTTGGGGGAAAGATGACCCCACGTGGTCTCTTGACCTTAGCAGGTTTTTTTAAGCAATTCTGTCCTGTTGCTTTCACTCTTTTCTTTCTGTCTTGCTGTATTTCTCCCGTCATGAAACATGTTACAGAATGAGGGACTGTAAATTCTGATGATGGGGAAGAATCCATCAGATCTTGGAAAACATTCATATTCACTCTACTGTTTATGGTGTCACCTGGCGATAGTCTGTGTTTATGCACAATGGGAATAATCTTCCTTGGCTTGACATTCTGAACAAACTTTCTTAACTCTTCAAAAGAACTATGATCCGAGTAGGGAACAACAAAAACATTCTCCACATTGGCATAGGGGTTTGTTGCTCCAACATAGAGACATGTCGGCAATATTGCAACGGTTGGTTCTTGGGAGTTCCAAAACTGAAGGTTTTTCTTGGTGATTTCATGACTTTTTACTACCCGAATCCTTACTTTATCCACATCACAGGTAAACACATTTGGCATTTCAAGAAGTTTCAGTGTTTCTTTTCTCAAAGGATCCACTCCAATCCAAGTTTTGAACACGACAGCGATTGTATGAAGAAGCATTTCTTTGCCAAGGTTATGAAGCCCAATGACAACTTTGCATTCTGGATGTCCTCGAATTATCTCGAGAATGTTGACAGTTGCTTGAGTACGGGTGGGAAAAGCGCACTTCGCATCGCAGTAAGTATTGTCCAAATAAAGGACGTCAAATTGTTTCCCCTTCATAGTAGAGTGTGCTGTGAAACGTTCACAATAACGGAAATCGCCGGTGTAGAGAATTTTCCCAAAATATCCTTCGAAAATGAACATGACGGAACCAGGGCAGTGGTTGGCGTCAATAAGCGTTACAGTCATGGTTTCCTTTCCAGCTTCATCCAGATTTATGACAACGCATTCATCTAAGGGAAGACCAACGACGAGGTCGCTGTTAACTCCAAGTTTAGCAATTACGAGCTTCCTTGTAACCTCTGAGCAGTAAATTTTGTACGTATTCCATGAAGATGTCAGACCGACCGTGTGGTCCGCGTGCATGTGAGAAAGAAAGAAAACTCTCGAGTGCTGGCAGTGCCTCAACCTCCAGAAGTCAATAGCTATTGGGGTGTTGGAAATTACAGCCCCGTTCATCCCTATCGCTTTTTTTTGGACTTCCGTTTTCGAGCTAACCAGAGAAACCGACCAGCAGGTCCAACAATCCTAACATTGCCGCCATCTTCAATTGCTATGGAACCCAGTGGATTGCGTTTCCCGCCAAACACGAAGTACACACGAAGTAAACACGAAGTAAACACGAAGTGAACACGAAGTACACGGCGCGCGTGAGTCACGCAACGCATACGTTTGGCCCATTTGTATTACCCCCTGTTCCTGAGCAAAAGGATAAAAATAACTGCTTTCATCATAGTAAGTTTGCAGATCGTGGATAGCGTCTGGGATACTGTAGGCCACCAATTTTAGCGGTGGTTTTAAATTAAAACTTGAAATAGGAACAGAAATTCCTCCCCGTCGCGTACCTGACCAATGCAGGACTGGTAACAAATTATCCGGTTTGTTTGCGACAAGTTCACGGAAAGCACCCTGATTTCTACTTGTAACGACTAAAGACACCAATTGATGCAATAGTTCTGATAGTTCTCCATCGCCTTCGGTTCTTTTAATGGAATTTACAACCCGCTCAATAAATAAGAGAGTAACTACTTACATCACACTAAACAACAACTTTCCGGTGTCGTCGGAGGACAGCACTCTTAACTATAAATAAATTACGAAGTATTCAACCCAAGGTTAAGTATGGAGAAGGAAAGGGTACCCATCATGTCACGTCACTCTTCGAGGCAAACGAGGCATAAGCCGTCACGAATTGGATCGAACGTGACAAAGTATACAAGACTATCAATTTAAGTCTAAGGCAGGGTATTCTTTAAAGATTATGTGCATTTCAAATAACAATTTTAGCTCAGCAACAAAGTGAAAGCTTAAAAGTACTCGCAATCTCATGTTGCAATTTGATTAGGTACCCTTATGGCTATTCCAACTCACCCTCATACTTTGAGAAACCGAATGAACCAATGTAGCTAGACTAATTTTATTCACCTCCACACGCAGAAGTGTTTTCTGTAGTTTTCGTATTCAACACACATTTAAATTATTACAGTATTAGCCTCTTCCAGGCGTTCAGTTAGTTGGGGCGCAGCGCGAAAAACAGCGCGCGAAAAAATACAAAAAATCCCGCTTCCTCTAGCCGCGCTTTTTTTTTAATGTTTTCGCGCACTGTTTTTCGCGCTAAGCCCCAACTAACTGAACGCCTGGAAGAGGCTGTTACAGTATTTAAGATTTATTTTCCCATTAAAATGCAATTCACTCATTTCCAAACATAAGCAATAATCGCACACATTTTACAACCAATGAAAATAGCGCATCTACTTGAATGAAAATTAAAATCACTGCTATTTTTCGTCAACAGTAATAAATCCGATCTTAATAAATAAATCATCTCTTTGACTTAAATCTCTTTTTTTCTTTGTACAAAACTAAAGATTAAAAATCTTATTCGGTAAAGACTGTCAGCTATCTATAAATATACTTTGACTATGGATGTTCAATCACAATAACTTGCTGCTGATCAATAATTTGTATTTTTTGTAACTTCATAACCAATGTGGACTATAAACCCAAAATGAAAATCTATTAAAATCACTGCGCAGGAGTATTCAAGTCCCGGATCAATATTTGTTATAGTTTGTCTGAAAATTAATGGGCCACAAACACAAAACCCATGCATAAGAAGAAAATGTATCCATGACCAACTGCACCAATAAGTTAATC